ACAGGTTGATTCTTGTCTTACATTACATTTTCTCGCCTATACCTTAATATAACACTCTATTCTCAAAATCCCTACTAACAAATCCCTCAAAATGGGGGTATTTCTTAGAACTTGAACATAATAGTAGGGATTTCAAGAATATGCCAATATTATCTCCACAAATATACAATTTAACCTATATTTTTAACAAGCTTTTATACTTTCCACATTAAATTTAACCATATAGTTCAGTAATTTCAGGTAATTAAGGTGTTAATTCGATTAGAAATTGTCCTTTGTAGAAAAACTATAGTGATTGTAGATATCTTCTTTACTTCAACAATTTCATTGAATATCAGTTAGTACATAGGTTAGTATAATAATTCGGTTATTTCAATTTAACATATACACTTACCAAATCATAATGTTAACATTTCATTCTTTTGTATTAACATATTTCGTAAAAACTAAATAAATTATTATAAAAAAGGGAATCAATCGGTAAAAACGCATACTTTTGATTTACGTAAAAGAATGTATAGTAAATAGTTCCATAGTGCATGATTTTTGAGATAACATATTGTTTTAAAGAAATTCTACATATTCAAGCTCAGTAAGATAGATTTACAGTTAATAGGGTGTATTTTTGATTTAATTTTCCTACAAGATTTAATAATTTCAAAGCATTTCTATGGCAGATAGTGATAGCTGTACTATAGTGTGGATTACTGTACTATAGATTTAAAGAATAAACTTATCGATAAATAGGACTGCCCATGAGCTTTGGTAGTAACATCGATATATCTCTGTCTTCGTGTGGGACACCGAGTCGTTCAACGACCCCGTCGATATAAAACTAGCGCAGATAAAGAACATGTACCGAATTGGCTGCATTATTGTTGACATACTGCTCAAATGTCATATAATATGAGAGGCAAACAATAATGTTTCCATTTCGGGGTATGTTCTTTATCTGAGCCAGTAATATCCTTATTTCTTAAAATTTCTGTATTTAGATAAAACACAGATCGCATTGCAAAGAATGATTTATAATCGAGAGGCTGCTAAAAGCTAGTTTTTTGATGTTTATGTATTTTTAGTATTCATCATGACAGATAAAGCTCATTTTGCGTGAAATTTCAAGACATTTGTAGTCGCGATCATCTCCTATCTCTTTCTAACCATATTTGACGGAAAGTGACAGCACTAATTTAAGGTAAGTTAAGAGAATGTGTATTGACATTGTGTGTATTGCCAGTATTATACAGGGTGTAAGAGACGGTGTACCGAAAACTATGCAGGCGTGATCAGACCAAGAAACTGATCAACTTTAACTATGGAGCCAATGGTGGGAAACGAGAAAAAAATTCCGACCTCCCATACAAAATTCGCGATTAGCTGACTGACTTTGTATGGGAAATAATTTTATTTTCCTTTAACGCCACACGTTTCATGGAGAAAGTCGTTCAGTTTTATGGTCTGAGCACGCCTGCAAGTTTTCGTTACACCGAATCTAACACCTTGTATACCCATCCTCACAGTCAGTCCTACTCACCTATACCTACAACATCTGTGTGTTTGTGTATGTGTGTGTGATCAGCTGTCGTTGTGTGCGGGTGGGGTGGTGCAGTCGCCGAGGGGGGCCTTGGGGGAAGGCTTCGACGGGCGGTTCACGAAGATCTCCACCTCCTGGAATAGGGAAAAAGGGGAAGTTAAATATGGGATTGAAGCAGGTATTCAATAGGCGCGTCCACACCAAGCGAGCCTGCTTGCTGCCTCGCGCAAAAAACGACCAAAAAATTACGTGCCTCAGCCAAGGCAACGCATGAACGTGCTCGGGCGAAAGCGCGCAGGTCGAGCCAAAATCAACGTGCCTCAGAAATTTGCCTATTAATTTATTAGTCGTCCAAATTCGGCCGAACTTAACTCGCTTGCGAACGAGCGTATGCCGCGCGAGGCAGTCGCGCGAGGCAGTGAGGCAGCGAGCAGCCTCGGGCAGTGTAGACGCACCTATTTAGCAACATTTGACTCGCAACATTGTATATCGACAAGTTCACGCGCGTTACGCGACAACCGCGGCAACTTCACGTTTGTTGCCGGCGGAGATATCCATGTTTATAAGCATTGTACCTTTCTGCAACATTTGAACTATGCATGGTGTTTGTTTAGCAACATTGTCGTGTATTATCAAAAACTATGCAGCCTTTTACATACATGTCACATACCAAGATAAAAGTTCCTGGCCAGTTTTGCTAAAAAACAAGGCCCGCGAACTTTAATAGTAAAAACAAATCAGTACGACGACCTAAAAATGTGTAAATAAAGCTTAACTTTTTACATAATAGGCGGTAATTCAAAAACTTCGATACCTTTCGAACAATGGACAGAGTTGTTCATTAACTCAAATGTTCCACACAAAAATAATTGGCTAATGTTAATTTACCTGACTGCCCTCGATGCCCATCTCATCAGCTCGCCTGGACGTCCCGGGTGCGGAGGCGCGCGCAGCCAACTGCCGCTCGCGCGCCATTTGCCTGGAAACAAATAAAATACATGTTACAGTTGGCTTAATTTAAAAAGGTAGATATATCAATGATAATTTGTTTTTCGCCCTAAATTATCACATAGTTACAATAACGAGCATTTGTAGAGCGTGCGGAAAGTCATGCCGCTCCCGTATCGGCTTATGCACTGTGTTAATATACAGCCATAAAAATCTTGCCTCAGACACTGAATAAATAGTCTGTCACAGATGTATGAGGCCAATGATGAATGGTTACAACACTGATCTATTTTCTGACAGCGTTCCTTCCTGCCTATAGCCTTCGTAACACAATACTTAAAAATGACCAACCTTACATTTGTAACACTAGTATCTATGTAATTTTGCAATAAGTTGCAATGTGTCCTTTTTTACGGCACTAGTAACATACCTCCTATGTTCCAACATGGCCTTCCTATCTGCCTCGCGCTTCTCAGCAGCAAGCCTCGCTTTCTCATTCTGAACCGGAGGTGTGTTACGCGCGCGGCGCACGCTAGGCGTCGCTGCGTTGCTCGGGGAGGATGTAGCTTTCTTTGGGGTTGTTTCCTGGAAGAGGGATTTTATGGGTTATGTTACTGTGGAAAACAAATTGCACTATTTTGATTTATATATAATATGAGAGATTTTATTTTTGTTACATGTCCGAAAAATATCTTCAAACCGCTAGTCAATGAAAGGCCTTGAGAATATTAACACAGATGTCTCACAAGGAATCATTCTTGGCCCTTTTCAATAAAATACTGCAGTAGTCGAAAAATGTCCTCACCTTTATCCATAAGTAAGCTTTAAAAATGTTAGCGTAGGTGTCTAGCAACAAGCTTTATTAGAACCTTTGCTTCTAGTGTTTTCAAATTGTACAAAATAGAAAATTTTCGTACCTCTTTCCATCCGTTGGCTTTAAGTTTGGCTATATGTTCGTACAGTTGATCCACATGTCTAACTTGTAGGCAGACCATGTCCCAGAACCCTTGTAAATCTTCTGGTGTGGTTGGAAAAGCACCACCAGCGCAGCCCACGTCGTTTATGTTGTTGTAGCATAGGCCTGGAATGAAAAAAGGGGGTTTGAATTACTTTATCATGTGGGTTTTGAGGCTACCCACGATTCGATGAATCCAAATTGTAGAGTTTCAAATCGAAAATAGGTCTGTTGTATTGTAATACAGGGTGTTAATTTAAATGTGTGCCATAGCTTCAGGGAAGGTTAAGTATCGATTAAGGACGCCGTAAAAATAATGAAAAAATCCCAGTCAAAAGTTGTTGTTTAGAGAGTGCCCATACAATTACATTCGTCTAAACAAATTTCGGCTGAGATATAGGCATTTGAATATTAAACCTACCCTGAAGCTATGGCACGCATTTAAATTAACACCCTGTATATGTGTTTTCTAATAGAAACTATTTACGGCAAACACATAGTACAATAAACTTGTATAATACAACTTTTATTGTCTACTGGCATTCTATCTATCAGAAAACACTTTGTATAAGAACAATATTGATTGATACAACGTCTTGGTCTGTGAATTCGCATATCATTAGATGTACACAAACAAACATTGTGAACTATTAAAATCGAACAATAGATGATTCGAAGAACGCTATTTGTACAGTCTCTCCCGCTCACTCATGAACAATCCAAAATGTAAGGTTTCGACTTTATCAGATTGTAATATTTTACAGCAATAATTTGTTACTTTCTTGATGCAGCAACATTTATTTAATCGTACAACAAAGTTTTTGTCCGGCTTGTCGGTATCAATCACAAGAAAATCGAAATCTTAAAACTGGAACTATTCATGAGGTAGCATGAGAGACTGAGACATGTTTGGTTTTTTTTTTTTATTTTTTATAATTAACAATGTGTAAGCATTTGTCCGCAATCTCACCTGATGTTAAGTGACGATACAGACGATGATGGAACATGCTCGCCCAGACAATGCCTATTCACTCTAGCCTTGAAAAGGCCCAGGTTATAACGTTCCGGAAGAGATTCGCAGGCAGGGAGTTCCACTCTTTAGCAGTTCGCATTAAAAATGTAGAAGCGAAGCGCTTTGTGCGAATTTGCGGGATGTCTACGATTTAAGGGTGGAATCTCAACCGGCGTCTCGTGCACCGGAGATGGAATGGTGACGGAGATATCAGGTCATGGAGAGACTGTATCCTGTAGAATCGCGTCTTTTTACCTTGGAACTGCTGCATCTTCTGTGTGGCGAGTAGACGCGCCTTCCCTGACGCTGAACGCAGCAGACCCTTCGCCTCCTCCATCCATTCCGCATTCTGGTCTTCCATACTCTGAAATAGTCAGCATGGGACTTTTAGTGATTGAATTGGGATTTTAATGCACTCAAAGTGCTATATTATTCTGATAAATTACTGTAATGTGGACTAGCCAAGTATTTAGTTGTAAAAACTACTACTAGATGTCGTGTCGCTTCGAGACAAGTATCAAGAGGTTGAGAAATGCATCAGGGTCTGCCAGGCGCCTGTAGCTCAGCTAGCAGAGCAGTGGGACGGTACCCCACGATCCTGGGTTCATGTCCCGGCATTCAAGTTGCCAGGATACATACATACATACATACATACACACGTCACGCTTATATCCCTAGCGTAAACGGCTGTCAAAAATGGCCATTTACACCATGTCTGACAATAGTTCAAGAGTTTTTCAGAAGACTGTGTTTTACTATAGTGACAGTTTGTTAGGCTATCGCCTAATTCTGCAATACTCACCAACTCTTGGATCCCTTAGTCGCTTTTTACGACATCCACGGGAAAGACCAGGATTCAATTTCGAAAATGTTATACAATAGGTATTATTTTGCCTACTTTCATAAAATTCAATAGAAAGATTTCTTTCATGGTTGACAACCATTGTAACAGCATTTTATTAATTAATTAGTTATCCTCAGACAATGTACATTGCTGTGACAAATTGAAGGCTCTATTAACAAGACAATCAGGCTTTTACGGTCAAACGATTTCACACATAATGCACCTTTTGTCTAATTATTACGACTAGAATAATGAGCTGTAATTAGCAATGTAGGCAACTATAGAATAATTTCGTTCTATTTTGCATGCTATTTATTACATTAACAACCACAAAAGTTCACTGCTGGACGTAGGCCTTTCGTTATTATGGGATATTACCATAACCACCACTCTTGGCAGGCAGATTGGCGAGCTCAGTGCAAGATGTTGCATCACAGGGAAAGTTGCTGCCCATTCCCTGGATTAGTTTACATTTGTCCCTTTTTACGGCACTATTTTGATCACTGAAGTAATAAATATGAGTTATCGCTAATGAAAAACTTATTCGAAATTTGGGTGTATGTAATTGTTAAAGTAAAAAAAATTAAACTCACCAATAAATTTTCTAATTCCTTTTCAGCGGTGACCGCTAAAGCGATCAATCTTTCAGTCTCTCTCTTTTCCAACACGAGGAAATAATGTCCGTCTTTTACTACTTCACCGTTACTCTTACTACCACTATCACCATTCAATTTTGCATCGTCTAAACCTATCACAGATACACCATTAGTCATTACTGTCACGTCACTTGGAACTTTCGCACTGGTTCCATTCGACACTGGAATTTCACTCTTTTCAGTCTTCACACTTGGAATGTGTTCCGGAGGGGACATTTCTGTCCGTGAACTTTTCTTTGGTGACAAAATTGGGAGCTGAGCCCGGAATTCCGGCCGTAAATGTCTTAGAACTGGAAGTGAGACGTTGCCATCCGTTTCTCCGTTTGGACTAGAATATTCAATACTTTCGTTAGATTTCCTTGGTGTTGAGAAATTGGACTGGCAGTTCAGAGATTTTTCAGTTAGGACTTTGTCATCTTCGCTTAAGCTCTTCTTCGATCGTTTCTGCATGAGGAAGCCTTGAGCAAGTGCTCCTGGTCCATATAACCGTTCCACTCTTTGCTGGATAAAACTTTTCATGGGACTTGTGAGTTTTTCACCATTTTCTTTAGTAATGTCAACACGCTTCGACACACCGTTTGACGTGATGGTGTAAGATTCTGATGTTAACCGCTGACTGGTTTCTTTTCCGTTGGTTTTTCGGAAGTTATTCTCAGAGAAGCTAGATTTGAACCCAGTTTCTCTCGCCTCGTCGACTTCATCTTTAGAATGCAGCATGGTTGTGGCAAAGCTTTTGCTTTCCGGAGAGATGTAAGACCGATCAGTCATACCGGGTCCGAGGAAGTCGTTTCTGAGTTGTTTGTTTTCATCAGCCATGGTGGTGTGATGGGGGGCCGAGAGAGCGGGCTCGGTAAGCGCCTTAGTAGGCGCGCGAGCCGTCAGGGGCCGTTGTGGATCATGAGGCCCCAAACTTGCCAGCAACAGCTTATTGGCACTGACCGGAACAGGTACCAGAAGCGATCCTGTCTCCCCTCTGTACTGATAGTGTGTTATTGGTCGAATAGGCGACGCTTCACGACTGCGGTTGATATCTTGACGTAGCTTCGAGTCGTAGGTCGTCAAATTCGTGTACCCATTGACAGAACACGCTAGGTGTAAGTATGATGGTTTCTTTTGCGTTTGAACGATCTCCCGTTTTTTGTGCCGTGATCTGTGACTGGCGGTTTCCACGTCACACTTCTGCGGAGGTTTTAATAGGTATTCTGTGAACTTTGGTTGTTCTTTTCTGAACTCCGCCTTTCTCGGGGTGGGTGTTAGATCCTCAGGGGTTCTTGAAGGGGTGATGGTGGGTGTTGGGACTGGGGTGTGGGTGACAGGGGGCGCTGCTCGCTCCTGAAGGCGGTTGGTGAAGTCTCGCACGCGACTGCCGGTTGATGATGGAGTCAGCAGGTTTAAACTGCCTGATGTTGTATCTGCAAGAGAAATGAGCAAGGTTAGAAATTGCTACTCTAACAATAAGGCCGCCTGTGTTGCACTTTGTTTTTTCATTTATGTGACATTGTTTTATTTTTATCACGTATAACAAACATATTGGTATTGTATTGTTATTTTAGGAAAGTTTGGATTCATGTTATTTGAGTGTCAACTCCGACACCAGGGTTCATCGGGTCGTTGAACGACTCGGTGTCCTACAGTCCCACATGAAAAGAGAGAAGAGTGTCAAGATCTTTTGAGGGAAGAGATTTCATGAGAAAATCGAACTGCAGTGCAGCGTCCATGTGAGCTGTTTCGTGACAATACAAGACACATATAAAATTAGTTCAGTCGCAAATTATATTGTTCAGAAAATTTGGTATTTATTGAAGAACGCAAACAACATTAATGCTGTCACTCTCATGATTAATTATTAGATTAATACAATGATAAATGAAGTATTTTTAGGGACAGAATTGCTAGAAAGTCACCAGTTTTATTTACATTCATTTTATACTAAAAACTTTTATATAAAAAAAACTAAACTTACATGAAGTAAACAATGGAAAATAATCACACATATTTCTCATTTATATACAAATCAGCAATTAATTAATATTTATACGGCATGTTCACACATATTTTTCTCAATAACAAGAAAATATAGTAAACAACTTGATTTCGTAAGACAAACTAATAAAATAATCCCAATTTGATAGGTATTTTAAGAATGGGGGCGATTCTAGCATAAACATTCTCTAGTAACACTTAAAGTTGCTCATGTGATAAGATGAATGAGGAGAGAATTAATCAAGAAGAGATCTAGAATAATACTGAGGTAAATGAAATTGTAGATTTGATGTGGTATGTTATTAACATTTAGAATGGTACATGCCGTGAGGTTGAATATTTTTTTTTTTTTTTATCTATGACGGGCTTACTCTTGACCCCAATCTTACCCTAGAGCAGAGATGGGATCTACGGTGGAGCGAGCTTGCCCAGAAGATGCCTATTCACTCTAGACTTAAAGAGATTCAGGTTATATGCACTCGGAAATACAGACGCAGGCAGGAAATTCCATTCTTTAGCCGTGCGCATAATGAAAGATGATTTGAAGCGCTTAGTGCGTAATGTGGGTATATCAACTAAGAACGGATGGTAGCCGGCCGTGCGTCTGGATGTCCGATGGAAGAAAGGAGACGGTGGTATGAGCTCATGCAGCTCACGCGCACACTCTCCGAAGTACAATCTGTAGAAGACCGATAGGCAAGCAACCTTGCGGCGGTGAGCCAGGCTGTGAAGCTTGGTCGCCACCAGTTTTTTATCGCCTATTAATCTCTTGGCTCTGCGTTCCACCGAATCCAGTGCAGCAAGTTGGTATTTAGCCGAGCCATCCCAAAGGTGACAGCAGTACTCCATGCAAGATCGGACTTGAGCTTTATAAAGAGTTAGAAGCTGTTCAGGCGTGAAGTACCGCTTGACTTTATTCAGGACGCCCAACTTTCTAGCTGCAATTTGAGCCTTGGACTCGATGGTGGTGCCGAAGTTGAGGTCAGAGGACAGCTCCATGCCAAGGAGTTGAAGAGTGTTGGTCACTGGAACAGATGTACCCCGAAAAGTAGGAGAAAAGGTGAAAGGACTCCTTTTTGCGGAGAAAAGACACGCCTGCGTTTTTGAAGCATTGAAGCTGACGAGATTGTCATCGCCCCACTGGGAGACGTTACTTAACGTCAGGCTCGTACGCTCAATCTCAATCTAATAGCCTTTCTCAATCTTTGGATTTCATCACCACTGGCTCCTGCGCCGGACAGATATTTCTCGGTGACAGTACTGTCATCTGCGTACCCAACAATTCCTGAAGATAGAAGGTCATTGATGTGCAGCAGGAAAAGCGTCGCGGAGAGTACAGACCCCTGAGGAACTCCGGCGTCAATAGCCTTGAGGTCAGAGGAGCAGCCGTCTATGACCACTCGGATCGACCGTTCACTCAGGAAGTCAGCCACCCAGCTACAGAAGCCAGTGGGTATGCCGTACGCTGGAAGCTTGCTCAACAGACTCGCATGCCACACCCTATCGAAGGCCTTTGAAATGTCCAGCGACACTGCTATTGCTTCGCCGTGGTTTTCAATGGCCTCGCCCCAGCAATGCGTTACGTACACTAGAAGATCTCCCGTGGAACGCCCTCGGCGGAAGCCATATTGACAATCACTGAGAAGATCATTGTCTTCGAGGTACGAAAGCAGTTTGCAGTTCAGAACTCTTTCCATAGCCTTACAGAGTACGGAAGTGATGGCGATCGGTCGATAGTTGCTAGGGTCGGCACGGCTACCCTTCTTGGGCACAGGTTGCACACAAGCTTCCAAGATTTTGGTACAATTTTTGACACGAGAGAGAGGCGGTACAAGCGTGTCAGTACAGGAGACAACTCAGGCGCACAATACCTCAACAATCTTGCTGGTATGCCATTAGGACCACTGGCCTTGTTCACGTCCAGACTGCGAAGGGCTCTACGGACCTCTTTATTGTGCACTGTGATCTCAGACATCAAAGAATCACAGTGAGGTAAGGTGGGTGGATACTTCGAGCCAGCGATCGGCAAATAAATTTGCTTTCTCTGCCGCGGTGTGGGCAAGCGACCCATCAGGTTTCTGCATTGGAGGTAGTGAGGGACGGCAGAAGTTGGATTCGACTGATTTCGAAAGGGACCA